GGCACGACGGCGCGGGCGCAGCACGTAGTCTGTTGTACAGACCGTTATCACTATTCATCACAGGAAAATAAGCGTAAAGTGGCTTGAGAACTGGAGAGCAGCAGTGGAGTGATGTTCAAAAGTCGGACAACAGCGGAGCCGCGGCAATCGATATGGGGAAACAAAGTAGGCACCGAGATTCTTTTTCAGCTGGTGGTGTTGTCATTCTAGCATTGGGAAATGGTCTTTTTGTGTGTTGTGTTGTATTGCATAAATCAGCAGTTGTTGGATGCAGAATCTTGAACTTGAGTGTAGTAAAGGCCCGAAATGAAACTCATAATCAGAAACCATCCAATTGAGGATGAGAATCCATGTAACAGTCGCAAATAGCGCTTGTCTTTAGGTGACTTGAGGTGATGGTGATGATGATGACGATGACGATCCAATGGTGTATCAATTCCCCCAATAGAAACCACTACGTAGCGTACTTTATCGATCAACCATTCATCAGGCGTCAATGTCATCTTCCCCTCAATTTCGTGCGCGGCATTTTTTAGAGGATGCTACCGTCAAACATCATTCGCCTAATCAAGCGACCGAACTGAAGGTAAAGTTGAGTTTAGCTTAGATGAGCAGCCAAGATTCAATTAAGACCCTGCCGAGACAGAGAATTGGATCTGCCCTGAAGAGATTTTCTTGTATGGTTTTTTGTCTTATGCAGGTCTCAATGCAATGGGGCCAATAGCTAATAATCAATGGCTAAAACAACAACAACCTTAATTTATCCACCCCGGGCATCAATGACATTGGATCTGTTAAACATATTCCTAGTCAAGGTTAGACCGATGGGTCAACAGAAAAGGCATCAACCCCAGAATTACCCAACGACTCAAGTCACCTGACAATCGAGTACCCGATTAGTCGGTAAATTATCCATTGACTCGTATGCAGTACGACCTAAAGGGACTTGACTTTCATTACTCATTCAACTGTGTAGAACTATCGTCTCCCTACTATCCAAGTCCTCATACTCATCCAATTTTAGAATAGCCCAAATGTTACCAAACTCTTGTCCCCATCTCACGCTTCAGTCTTCACCGTTTGAATCGAACTGCCTCTGTGGAATGCCGTTGTAAAAGTATCCACATCGTTGGGTGTAGACTCTTATTTAGCCTCTTGGTCCAGCGCTCCCAGCTCCACGGTCTCCCGAGTGCCGGCGGGGCACCTCATGGCTGGCTCACTCTTACCCACTGTTTGGTGGCTGAGATACCCGCTAAAGCCGCTAAAAAAACTCACCCCGGTTTTTTCTCTCCGGCGGGTTTTGGGGGGCTTGGACCTTGGACACAACCACTTTTGACGATTGAGCAGAACCTGGCCTGGCTTTTCTTGCTTGTTCCTTCTACAATCAAAGAACCAGGACAAGCATAAACCTGACAGGACGGGTAAGGAGACCTATATCTTTTCTTTTTCTCGGTTATTAGCAAAATCTTCAACAGATCATCTTCTCTTTCCTTTTTCTGTTCCTTGTTCATCTCTTCCCAGGTATCTTATCATCCCCCAGGTAGGCACATCCCGACGGGAATACGCCGCCGCAGTACGCCGAAAACCAGACAATATCCGCCATCTGACAGCCCAGCACGGGCAGTCACGATCCCAAGGTTACGTTACCTGCCCTGGGCTTATTAGCCTTCGGTAGCCTCTACCCACCAAAACTCGACTTTCCAACCGACTCTTCTGTCGATCCAATTTCATCCTACTCTCTTAGTAATCTCCTGAAATCCATCCCGATATTCCAACATCGAACCTTGGAAGACATGGCACGCTCATCAAGGTAGCAACGGCTCCAACTTGTCAAGCCGACCTCGATCTCAGCTTCACACACAGTTTCACGAGTGACGAGTCCATGTCTCTTCCAATTCCGTCCTCGACATGTCCGACTCGGCCTCCACCGACGATGGAGGCATTCCCGATCGTGGGCCGGTCGTCTTCGCCGTTACAACGGCCACTCTCGTCCTCGCTACAGTCTTCGTCGCAGCACGAATTGTCTCGCGGACCTTTATTGTTAGGAATGTCACCTGGGATGACCGCGTCATGATCCTCGCATGGCTCTTTGCCTTCTTCCTCTCCTTCACCATCTGCTTTGGCGTTCACAATGGCCTCGGACGACACGACGAAAACATCGACCCGAACCGCTTACCCGCCCTTCGCCGTTGCGAATATGTCTTTTCCATCCTGTACAATCCTGCGTTAATGGCCACCAAAACCTCCGTACTCATATTCTACCTCCGATTGGCCAAGCACACCCAAAGAGTACTTCGATTCGCCTCTTGGTTGACACTTGCGGTTGTTAATATCGCTGGTGTTATTCTCACTTTCATGAACGTTTTCCAATGCCGCCCGACACAAGCCGCTTGGGATGTTGACTACGACGAACGCGCGAAGTGTATACCACTACTTACCGAGTTCATATGTTCTTCCCCCGTCAACATCGTTACAGACCTGGCCATTCTCGCTCTACCTATACCTGTTCTCACCGGCATGCGCCTCCCTTCTCGCCAGAAAACAATTCTGGTCCTCACCTTTACTGTTGGAATATTCGTTACCGTTGTCGATGTGGTCAGAATTTACTACCTGCAGCAAGCCATTACAGCACCAACCAGTACAACTGCCGACCCCCAGTCTCGATTTGGTGGACAGACCGACTTTGCCTGGAATGCTTCGCGATCGCTTATGTGGAGTGCTGTTGAGGTTAACGTCGGTATGATGTGCGCCTGCGTCCCGACATTGAAGCCTCTGGTCCTTAAGCTGCTTCCCTCCATGCTCTACGACCCCAATGGAACTCGCGCCAGCACACCCAAAGGGCCCAACGATTCAGACACGCCTTCAACAGGCCATCGCGCCAGTATTCAGCAGCCACCTCCTGTCGCGCAAACTGGCACACAGCCTCTCAATGCTAACGCTCCCATGAGTGCGATGGAATTTTTGACGACCCCTTTCGACGAACCAGGCCCAACCCGTCCTGCGCAACGTGGTTACCAGAGTAATGGGACCTTTCAAACATCAACAACTATGACGTCTTCTACCGGAACTGTCGAGGGTGTTTATTTTGGCTTCGTCAACATGACAAAGCCTAAAAGTATGCTCAAATGCAACAAGAAGCAGTCATTCAAATACTGCACAATTGTGTCCATCTTATTTTTGTTATGGGGAATATCATATGGCCTACTCAACACTTTGAACAACGTCATTGCAAAAGTCGACAATATGACCACAGCTGAAACACTTGGCATGACGTCTGTATACTTTGGAGGCGGTTACTTCTTTGGACCCCTGCTAGTGGGTGAATGGATTCTTAGGCGCGACGAACACAACCGATCGAAGCGACACAAGGCCAACGGCCACGACAGCGTTGGTGGCTTCAAAGTTACTTTTATCGTTGGACTATGCTTTTATGGGATCGGAACTGTCATCTTCTGGCCCTCGGCTGTTACCCAATCATACGCCGGATTCATGCTCAGCAACTTCGTTGTCGGGTTTGGTCTATCAATTCTAGAGGTTGGCGCAAATGCATTCTTAATACTTTGCGGCCCTCCCGAATACGGCGAGACTCGCGTTCTCATGGCGCAAGGTATCCAAGGCACTGGCAGTGTCCTTAGCGGCCTGCTCGCCCAGAAGGTCTTCTTCAAGGGCATTGTCGAGCAGAACAACGCGACCAGCATGACACTCATCAACGTGCAATGGACGTACCTGGGAATCACACTCCTGTGTGTTGCCCTAGGTCTCTTCTTCTATTACATGCCGCTTCCCGAGGTGAGCGACCGTGAGCTTGAGCAGTCTGCCAAGCATCTTCCTATGGATCCTCAGAAGAAAAGAGGCGGTCTACAGCTCCGCACATGGAGTCTCATTCTCGCCGTTGTTGCTCAATACACCTACGTTGCAGCCCAGGAGTGTTTCAGCATCTACTTCCGCAGCCTCATGATATCCATACTCCCTAACACACCCAATACCGGCGAGCAAGCAACCGAAGGTGCAGGCGATATTCCTAACCCCGATAAACCTCCTGGCATCGCACTCTCGATACCCGATTATCTTCTCATCGCGCATACCGCCTTTGCCGTGTCCCGCTTCATGGCAGCCGGCCTTGCATATCTCTCCGTATACCGCTCCCGCTTCCCACGACCCCGTACCATCCTCACCGCCTGCATTGCTGGCTGTTTCGTCTTTGCCCTTCTTCCTGTGGTTGTCCGTCCACCCAACCCTAACCTTCTTATTATACCTATTGTTCTCTTTTACTTCTTCGAGGGCCCTATATACCCTCTTATTTTTGCCATCGGTCTTCGTGGCCAAGGTCGACGCACCAAACGTGCTGCCGCTTTTATCACTATGGGTAGTTCCGGCCCCGGATTCTTCCCCTTTGTCATGTACGGCATAATTAAGCACGGAGGCACCGTCAGAACTGCTTTCATCGTCGTCATTGTCCTCCAGGCCGTCTGCATGTCCTACTCGGTCTTTCTCCAATTTATCAGCGACGCCAAGCAACTCGTCGATCCTTGCCCTGCAGTGCGTGATGCCCTCAGTCAGCCGGATGAAGAGATGCCGTCGCCCATGGAGACAGCGATTGCTGGGAGGGCGTGCCGACAAAGCACGATGAAGGAGAAATCCCAAGGGTTCTTGGATAAGGTGTCACATGGAACCAAGGTTATAAGTGCCAAGTTCCTCAGCACTCGGCGCCGGTCTTCACAACCCTCGATCCACCAATGCGAAGATAGTCGCGATAATGCGGCATCATAGTTAATGTTGACGACTCTTTTTCACCCATCTTTGTATATATTTTACGGCCGAATACTTTCGGACCTCTTGGATTCATAAACAGCGAAAAAGGGAGGCGTCGGGTTGGGTCAATGACGGATGAATTGTTTTTTGATGCTCTATACCCAACAGGTCCTTGTTCTGGATGGACATTGGTACATACTTTTTTATTAGCTATAGTTTCAAGGACATGTACATGTGTATGTATCATATGTTTGATACGATATGATAGTCAGTACGTTACAAAAGCTCAAGAGCCAAAACTTTTTAGAAATTTGATACTGCTACCGGCTATCATTTAACATGTTCATTTGTTCGCCAACCTCAAACCCATTTTGTAAACCATTCGAGACTAGCCCAGATGTGCAATCATGTGCAATGAAATAAACCATGAAGTCAAGTCCTTCATTGCGGAAAAAAAGGCATGTTTCATGAGAATTCCTTTACCACCCAAATTGCTCCAGATGCAACTCAACACCTGCTCTGTTTTCCACGATACAGTCAGCAGCCGCGTTCTGAACGGCTGACATGAGCGTCCGTGGTCCGCAGCCCATCAACAGCACCCGTTTGTCGGATGGTGTACTCTCTATCAGTTCTTTCACAAGGGAAGCGACATCTGGTCTCCCAACGTGAAAAGCATGGCCCGGAGAAGCGTCTATCGCTGGTGAGAGAACTTCGTTCTTCTCAATGTCAAGTGATAATCTGGTAGTATCGACGTGGGGAAGAACATCCTTTTCTGGGTCGGACTCGACGAAAGTGCTACTTGAAGACGCGTGCGATCGGGACGAAAGCTGCCTCCGGGGGACAATCTCGGCTTCTGAAGCTCGTGTTACATAAATCTTGGTCGATACACGATGGTCTTGACGTAAAGTTTCGATATGGTCGGCAAACCAGGTGAAATATGCTATAATATTGGTTAGTATCGTGAAATCACGGTCTTCAACGTGGACTTACTTGGTTTCCTGATCATCCATACGAATTCAATGTCAACCTCGGCATCTGTGTCCAGTCTTTTGAGCATGTCTAGGGCCGCGCCAACCGTGAAGCTTGCACCACTACCCCCTGCTATAAGCATGACCTTGTCATACCCCTTGACATCAGGGTGATTACCGTAAGGACCCTCAACTGACCCTTTCAATCTGATTCCCGGGTTCTCAAGGGCACACTTGTGCAAAGCTCGAGTAAATCCGTCGTAGGCTGCCACGACAAACTCGAGGGGATTAGTAGCAACCATCGTGAAAGGGTGGGTTTCGACGGCGCGTACCGCGGGGATCCAAAGGAAGCCATGGTTGCCAGATGAAGATCCATACGGCGCCTTCGCGAGTGTGACACGAGTACCGCCATTGGGAAGCGGCATGAGAGTGACGGTGTTATTGGCGCTGTTGACGATGATACGTACGAGGCGGACGACACGCTCAAGGACCCAAATTCCAGCTGAAGCAAAAATGACGTATAGAACCTTGTTGCTAGGCTCCGGCTGATGAAGACCAGTCATGATGACAGCAAGGATCCAGAATACCACATGAAGGTAGTAAAATAGTTCGTACCACCACGTACGGAGGACAGCTCCCGCAAAGCCAAGGACTAAGAATGAGCCCATAGCGGCCATGCCAAAGATTTCTTCTCTCGCAAGCAAACGCTGGAGAAAGTTTTGGGCTCCAAAAACAGCAGCGTAACTGCAAGAGTGTACGATAGCGAAGATAAGAGTAGTGTAACCGGTTATACGATGAAGAATGTTGAGACGTTCATATGAAGAGGTCATGAATATGACAATAGGAGTGTTCTTGAGAGAAAGAAGGATGACGATGAGAAGGTTTGCAATAGTCATCCTGTAGAAATTACGTTAGAATTGTGGGTAGAAGATATGTTTAGAAACCTACCATCCAGTTCTAGAAGCCATGTTGGAAAGAAGTGGCATGTTGTCGTTGTCTAAGTAAGTAAAAGTAACGATCGCGTTGATAACTACGTATCCGAATATAACAAGCGTATATCCTGCCGATGGGGATCTCCCGATATTTCCAAAAGCACTCGCTCTCATGCGCCTGTCATACAGTTAGACCAATGCTCCTTTCCAGATAAGGGCAAACTGTTACCGAAAGATCGCTGTGGCAATGTTTGGCTTGCGCGAAGCGCCTAGATCAACACAAAGCCTTCTGAGAAGAATGGTTATACATATGGTGAAGTAGAAAGCAGTCATAGCCGTCGCAAAGAAGACCATGGCATCGTAGTTCAGTTGTTGGCGACGGGCAAGTTTGGCGGCAAAGGCCGGGTCTGGATGTGTCGAACCTCTTGCCATGGTGAGATCGAAGTGCGAGTGAAGTTTGAGAATCGAATTGACAAAGAATTTCAGATCTGAAGAAGGGGAAGAGATTGTGCTAACAGGAGAGAGGGGAGAGAGAGAAATAAGCAGGCGTTGCCGTCGACTTGGTGGCCCGTACTAAGTAGGACAAGACACAATGATCGTGAAGAAGTAAATCAAGGGGGGTTACCAGTGTGTCAGAGGATCAATCTCCGAAGTCACACGGTAACGACTGAATGAGATGTGGCCAATGTTTGAGACTGATGGCAGTTACCCCCTTTTATATCTTTGGTTTGTCCATATGGTTCGAGGCGTTGCTTTTGCAAGCTGATAGTCTCGCGTTTTATCGTAAATATGTCGGATCAGCTACATAACAGTCTTCCAGAGTTGATATGCAGGATCCATCGGGACATTCGAGACAGCTCCAAGGAGATTTCAGGAGCGGCTCATTGCAGTAGCAGAGACACCGGGCTTTAGGCCCGTACCCGTAGCTTTGAATTACTGACAAAAATTTTACCGCCAACAGTTATACAGATTTCGAACTCCGGGCAGAGTATGACTGATGTTGGAGGTTGATCTGTGAGTGGCTGTATGTCCAAAGATCGCGGGAACTAGCATGAATCATCATGAAGGAGACAACTCGGAATCGATTCGCGGCGTCTAACTATAGGCACAACGCATTTCATAAGTGAGGTGTGCGCATTAGTTTCGAAGCCACAACAATCTCTGTCCGTCATCGGATATGCTGGTCTGCTTCGGCCACCTTTGACACTGTTCGAGGGTGAAACTGTATTTCCACTTCTGCATGAGCACTTGCTTTGATTAAATATATATGGTTCAAAAAAGGCTTGGGCTACAGGAAGAAAATATTTGTAAAGATTTGTACAGTATCCCGGCCCTAAGTCGAGGCTACGAGCTCCCCCCATCACTGGTCTTCTGGGTGTCTTTCAGGAGGAGCAGTTGAACACAAAATGCCAGATGAAATGCGACAACTTGACTGTAGACTATAGTCCATGAGAGAGGTAACCGTCATCAAACTTTATCCTCGATTTGTGGCAACCTTTTCCACATGGCTTGGTCACTTGTAAATGCTTGGCTCGCTACAAACATATCAAGGAGTTTGCAGGGATGATCAAACTCTCGTGCCTGAGTATATGCACACACAACCCGTATGTGTGTTGTATGACTTGAGGTGTTTTAGACTTGTTCATAACATATCATTTTCTTACCATGATTCTGAGGAATCGTTTCATGCATATCCGAAATAAGGCTAGACTTTTGATCTAGTTCCTGAAGTTCGCCAAACGACACCGCAGGGCAAAGTTGACGTCCTGGCTGGGTTCGCTTGTGATTTCAAGTCAGGAAGTCTCAGATTGTGACGTGATGTGGCCTAATCTATCACTGGAACCTCGAAAATAAAATGCAAGAATCGAACAAAGCATCGAGCGAAGCTGCTTTTGGCGATATCACCAAGAAAAAGTAAAACATCTCTCTGCACCTTAACTTCTCTGGTTCCACCAGTCTCAACGTTTCCCTTATCTCTTGTTCGGTCGCTTTCATGACCAACCAACACTTCACCAAGAAATATGCCTCGTCCTTAAAGCATGGTTCCTGTGTGTATCGTCGGCTTCTACCCCAGATGCGACGGCATTGCGTGACACAAGCATGCTTTGTCAAGCTGACAGATATGTAGAATCTATTAAATGTCGTCACACGATATTGAGATACTTGATGTCATGACATGAGGTAACCAATAATGCTGAGGAGGCTCCTCGCAAAGTACTCGGCATTATGTATGGTGTAGATGGTTACACACAGCCATGACTGTGTGCTTTCCTTTCCTTTCATGAAGCGCCACCGTTTCAGTTCTGCCAGAAACCGCCAGAACCCCCCAAGAGATATCAGTATTGCTTGATACAATTGGCTTATTGTTGACCGTGGCCATCCACGCTATTGAGTGTTGTTTTCTTGCCTAAGCCCCCGATGCAGACAGCACATCCGCGGTTATGCTTGCAGTACAGCAGCCGCAGGTGTGTTCCCAGGCAAGCATAGGGCGAGGGGCTGTGAAGGCAACTATATACAAGGGATTGTTTTCTCATGCAAATTCTTCATTGCCACCTCGGAAAGAGCAACATGCGTCTAGCCACAGGAGAAGATGGAAAGCGATGATCGACTGTACGCCTGATCCTTTTCACTCTATCAGCGGTTGTTCTGAAACCGGCTGAACTTGCCGCGTTGAAGGTCGTGCTATAATTTGCTAGTATGAGCAATCACAAGGGCTAGATACCCGGGCTACCCCTTCATGATGAAGCGGGAACCCGTTCGGATGTGACAATTTGTGAAGTTCTGGATCGGTCCGTTCATCTATGTCTTTGCTGGCGTGTGACGGAAGTGTGTAGGAAAACTTCTAAGCGATTGACATTTTCATGCCACCGTTTGCGCAAATTACACTTCCTGTTGTCCAACCACTCTCCTCTGAACAGAGCATATCAATTGTACCAGCGATTTCGGTCGTAAATCCTGGTCTTCGATTACCCATGTTCTCACGTACAGTCCGATCAAAGCGTTCAGCATCAGACCCAGCCATAGCCAAAACCTCCGGCTCACCGTCGTACTGCGCCAGTGGGGCTGCGTCGACATAAGGCTGGTTTATTTTCCAGAAAGTCTGCCCAGCGGCTGCGTACATATCTCCCCAAGCAGGTCCGGGGTTGACAGCATTGACGGTAGCACGAGTAGCCAACTCACGACTCCAGGTCCGTGTCATTGCTTCCAAGGCTGCTTTACTCCCGGCGTAAACAGATTGGCCTTGATACCCGATAGACGAAGATACACTGGAAACATTGACAATGCGGCCCGCGCGGTTTGCGGGAAGATGCGGGGCGACAGCCTGGGTCAAGAGGAGAGGGGCCAAGACATTGACATTATAGACGCGGTGAAACTCTACTTCTTGGATTTCTCCATGCCTTTCATCATTCATATGCTGATTCGACGAGACACCGGCATTGTTGATGAGTATATCGATTTGGAAAGGCTTGTGTGGGCTATAGGAATCATGAAGGCAACGTGCAGCTTCAATGATTTTGGGAGAGGCTTCGGACGGATTGCCCAAATCGGCCTGTACTGCAAGGCATTTCACATTGTGCAAAGATGAGAGCTCGCCGCAAAGATTCCTGGTTTGTTCTGTAGACGAGTTGGAAGTGTAAACAAGGAGAAGATTGCAGCCTTTGGCAGCGAGTCTCGCAGCAACGGCAGCACCAATACCTTAACCGAGTCAGCGACGTTGTAAATTAGAAGTATTTGGTCGCATACTGACCTCGAGAACCTCCTGTGACTATTCCAAGCTTTGAATCATAGGGACGATGAGGCCTGGGGGAAGCTGCTGTGCCTGCCATGATGGATGAAAGGACGGGGGAGTTATATATGTCAATTTATAGAAGAACAGCTCACTTATTACTCATGGGATGAGATATTACATCAACCAGTATATTCTTGGGCATTAAATGAAATCCAAAGAGTAAATGAGGCCCAAAATTTTGATTCATCAAGGCGATGGGCGGTGTTATGGAGGGGAAGTTGAGAACCCCACCCACTACTACTCACTGTATCATGATGGTGTGGGGGGCAGGTGACGTCGACAAGGCCATCAATCGATGCTACAAGAAATGGATGGGAAATCTCCTTCTATAAATATCAAGGCAAGACCATTTGAGAAAGTCCTGCGATGATTTGCCATGACCGTAGGCTCAACAGTACCTTCACTTGAAGCCGATTTCCCTCCATTCGTGGAATGGAAGAGTCGACAAGAGGACTCCAAGATGCCTAAGTATCTTCGGTGACCTCTGCGGGGTAATGACTGAGGAGGGGTGCTCCAGGTCCATATCATGAAGCCCTCCACTATAGGATCCTGATGGTGAATCTTATGAAGGCCAGGCCCTAGGGACTTCTTCCCACATCCCCCAAAGCAGGGGTCCTAGCCAATCAGAGACTCAATACCATGGAGCCAACGGTCCCATTGACGAATAGCTGACAATGTCTCCATCAAGCCTTTCTTCTTTTATACAACTAACGGCTTTAGTCGTCGAATGTTCCTTCGACCGCTAGTCTGTTGTGCTCTCACATGTCTTGTTTGGGTAACTCCGAATATTTCACGATGGAGACGGAACAGCGGTGATAACAAGGAATTGTCGTGTCAGTGACCTCGGAATGTCCCAACTAGGGAGAATATCTTAGTATCAGAGGGCCGTGAGTCGCCGATGCCACCGATTCTTGATAAACAGAGGGGCTTTCAAGAAGGAAGGGTTCCGGGGGGGCGGAACAAGGGGATGGGATTTGACCAGCAATTGCTATCCTTGGATCGTATAAAAGCTCATGGATCACGATATTCACTACCGTGTCTTTTAAGACACATTCTCTCTTCTGTCGTCTCCCTTTAATTTATAACCCTTATCTGTTATACAAACAGTACTCAGCATGTCTAATCTTAACCCCCTCAATGGAGGCAACTTCGTTCATGACGAGAATCGCGTGGTCGATGGAGGCTCCATCCTGAAGCGTTTCTCTCTCCAGGGAAAGACTGCCATCATTACAGGTGCAGCTGCTGGTATCGGTCTTTCTATCGCCGAGGCCTACGCTGAAGTTGGTGCCAACATCGCAATCTGGTTCCGTACCAGCAACAAAGCTGAAGAGCGCGCTGAAGAAATCTCCAAGAAATACAACGTCACAGGTAACGCAGTTGCAACCCCCTCCAAAGGTCTTCTTTTCTAACGAACCTTCTCTAGTCAAGGCCTATCAGGTCGATATGAGAGATGCTGAAGCTGTTGAGAAGGCCGTCGACCAGTCAGTCAAGGACCTTAACGGTCGGCTAGATATCTTCGTGGCCAATGCCGGTATTCCTTGGACGAAAGGTCCCATGGTCGATGGCCCTCTTGATCACTACCGTGATGTTGTCCAGACCAACCTCGACGGCACTTACTACTGTGCCAAAGCTGCAGCTAAGCACTGGCGCCGTCAGAAGGTCGAAGGAACTGGTATTAACGGCCAACCTTTGACAAACTACACATCTGGTAGTTTCATTGCCACGGCGTCCATGAGTGGAAGTATCGTGAACACTCCCCAACTCCAGGCTGCTTACAATGCTGCCAAGGCTGGTGTCATCCACCTCATCAAGAGTCTGGCTGTTGAGTGGGCTCGATTTGCTCGTGCCAACGCAATCTCTCCCGGTTATATCATTACAGAAATCTCCAACTTTGTGCCCCAAGAGACCAAAGATATTTGGAAAGACAAGATTCCTCTAGGGTATGATTTCCCTATCTTTATACAGTCGATTTGCTGACAAGAACATAAGCCGTGAGGGCGAGCCTCATGAGCTCCAGGGCGCTTATCTGTTCCTAGCATCAGATGCTTCCACATACGCTACCGGTGCCAACTTTGTTATCGATGGAGGCTACAGCGCGCCATAATTCTGTCATTGGAGAAATAGGGACATATCATACGCACATAAAAGATGACGAGTCGCTCAGGTAGTATATTTGGATTCTAGCATCCGCATTGTTATGGAGAGATAAACTATACTAAGGGCATATAGAGGATAAGAAGAATAAGGAAAAGGGGGAGGGGGGGAGAAGAAATATTGAATCAAATCCTACAAACCTAACATTCCCCTAATATTCCGTGGATGACTATACCAACAATATCACCATACCCAAACCTGAAATATCCTCACTTGATGCTCTCATCCGGCTCGAGGCCCTCGCCTTACTTGTCCTTTCTCCATTTCTGGGGAGATGAAGGAGAATGGACACCCGTAAGACGCAGCGCCTCTGCCTTCATGGCTGGGTTGTCCTTGATAGTCTCCTGGATCTTGGCGTAGGTGAGCTTGTTCTTCTTCGCGAAGGGGTTGAACGGAAGTTTCTTGATACCCAGACTGTTCTGCTCCTCGTCGTACTTGGTCGTTTGAATGATAGAATCGGCAAGTTGCACAAGCTGTGAAAAAGAGTCATTTTTTGAGAACTTGTTAAGTTCATCGCGTCCATATCTGACGTGTTTTATGCCTTCAACCATGACGTCTTTGTCTTTAGTCGTCAAGACTTTCCTCACACCGTGAAGAATGAGCATCGAGGCTTCGATCTGGAGATTGACGCTTGGATCCATTGTTTCGAAATCCTCTTTGCACGACTTGACCCATTTATTAGCGTCATTCAGGAGAATTCTTGCCAATATATGATCACGCTCTCGCAGAGCAAGTTGGAGATAGTTGCGAGTTCGGAAGAAGCAGACCAAGTTCAGATAGTTAATTCGATCCACGAGGCTCGGTGCTTGTTCTTTATTGGTTCCTTTGTTCTCCTCCCGAACTGCATTTATTAGAGTGTCAACCGTGGTGTAGTTGGCCTTTCCCAGAACTCTTATGCCGTCATTGCTGGCGCGAAGTTCCTCTTTGAGACTTTGCACTTGTGACTGCAATTCCTTGACCTGGTCCCTGCGAGCGTCCTTCTGGATGATACCTGCAGATCGTTTCGAACCAGGTGAAAATGCCGAAGCGCTGCCATTCGATTGTGCGGCTCGTACTGACCGCAGCTTCTTCTCAAGATCCTTTATCTTGCCTGAAAGTTTCGTCGTTTTGCGTTGTTCGTGATCCAATTGATCCAAGAACATATCCCTTTCCGATTCTGCTTCGGAGACCTTCTTCTCCAAGCGCTCCTTGGTTACAGGTGATAGTGGTGAGGCCTGGCTAGACTCTGGGGCTTCTCTGGTGGAAGTTAACGGGGTCCTAGGTAGCTGCATGGTGGCTGGAGGCGGGATAGAATGTTCGTTATATTGCTTCGATGGGTCCTTCGCTTGTTGATCGCCATTTTCCTGTGCGGAACTCTCAAGGTCTGTCTTTTCTTCTTCTGTCTTACTCTCTGTTGTCATGTCAGTATGCAAGGCCAGTTGACCAACATCTTGTTTAGTTACCAGAGGGTTCATTCTGTATATCGCCCTTCTCTCTTTTCTCCTGTTGAAGTTTCTCTATCTCCCCTTTGAGCCTCTGAACTTCCATCTCGAGCTTGGCGTTTTCACTTTGCAGCTGCTGACAGCGGACCTCCTTTTCTTCACAGTCTCGGATGGCTTGTTCTAGCTCCTCTGTTACATCACACTGTTGCGTGGCCATCTCGAGCTTCAGCCGATCAATGCTCCTGATGAGCTCGTTAACATGCTCGACAGGGACATCCTTCTGTCCGCTGCACCAGATCAAGAGAGCTGAATGCATCCCATTGTTGAAGGTAAAGTGATGGATCATTTCTTTGACCAGTTCAGAAGGTACATCGACCCCTTGGTCCATCAGGCCTTTAACTTGCTTCTCAACTCTCTCCATTGGAGGAGTTGTAGGTCGCAAGTGAGGACCCAGTGGGTTAGGTTTACCTGTATCAGGATCTATGATTATACTATCATATGCCTGTTGCGCGTCCTCGATCTCTTGGTTAGACACCGGCATGTTCCGTGCGAACATAAATTCGCGATCCGGGTCGCCTCTTTCAGGTTCATAATGCTTGCTTCCCCACCAGGTGTGACCTTTGGTCTTTCGGTTTTTTCTGTAATTGTTGTATGTTTCTTTGGCCTCTCGGGCCACTTGAGTCCTGGTTGGCTCATTTGATACGGGTGAATCAACATGAAAGAAAGGCTCATTCTGGCTATGGGGAGATCCGGAATCAGTGTCTTTGGGGGAGGGTTGCTGGTAAGGAACTGTTTGTCCTGTTTCCTGGGCCTCGTGTCCCGTCTCTGACTTGTTGTCTTCAGTCATTTCGGAATTTGAGCTCGTGTTCTATAAGAATTAAAGAAATGTTGTATGAGAAGGAGTCTCAGATCTTGGTATGAGCAACTATCGAGGATTTCAAAGACTTTAATAATTCCTTGAAAGACGACCCTTTGGAGCTGAACAGGCTTTGTTCGTCAATAATGTCCGTGTAACAACCAGGAAGATGGGCATTCTCTTCGAACAAAGACCTAACAAGACTAATTACAGGCAAGTCTGGTTATTGTTGTATCACACCCCTGAGAGCGTCTTATTTGGCGGGCGTGTTCGCTTTCTCTGAACACGGACAGACATTCTTATTACAAAACGCAACATGTTCATTGAGAGTTGGCTCTGGTGATTCAATGTCTAATTTCACACTTACTTCTAACTAGGCTACAACTAATAAGTATGCACTTCATCATCGATCATCGCACGTTTTACATCCATCTAAGTCCAAGAGCACTTTCTGCTTCAAACTATTGGCATTCTCTAACAGATAGATCCATCTGAACTGTAATCAATAATTCCCAAGTCCCTTGGCGTTGTGGCTCGGTAATGGCTGCACAAACCTAGGTACTCGGGTGAAGTCCTTTGTCCATCGCTTAGAGCGCCCAACACTCGAAACAAAGGACCACGGCAAAGACATGCCCATGTGTCGTACTTTTACCTGATTTCTCTGGAGAGTTGGATTACAAAAATAGAACTTTCCATGGGCAACCCTCAATCATTCGTCGAGCGATGTTTTGTCCAACCATAATTCATAGATCACTTTGTCAATCTCAACGAGGGCGTTGAGATCCATGCAATGTTGCACTTCTTCTTATTTGACTCCAACATTATAAAGTTGTTGGGAATCTATTGCTCATTAAGAAAGCTTTCCCCTGTCGAGTTTTCACAAGTATATGGCACCTTGTCTACCTAAAACAATGTCTTAGACCCATCATAGACATATTAAATCTCGTCATGAAGTGTCGCAAATGTTTTGTCCTCAGACGTCAGTGTCCTGATATAAGAGTATTGTAGAGGTCAGCTGAAATAGTTGACTCTTAACAACATTAATAAGGTGTAGCAATATAACGTATTTGATCAATTACTATTAAGACCAGGCAATTTCTTTCAGAATGCGTTCCATGCCGGTGTCCTCGATACTATATCCTCTGACCTTTCTCCGGTGTAAACTCTGTCTTCCACATGCACCGAAAACTCCATGGTCAACTTGATGCCTCTTTCATTGTCTAACATTGCGAATCCATCAGCATCTGATGCCATCCTATCCCCCTTTAAATCTCTTGGCTGTCCGTGAATTGAAACATGAGGATTCGCAGTCATGTAATCTCTGTGCCAAGAATCATTTAGGGGATCGTGGGCGCTACTTCGAGATAGCTTCCTCATGTTATAGTGATTATAGTAGTGGTTGTTGGTCCATTCGAACAAGGGCTGGAAAGCAGAGAGACAGCCGCACCAAAGGCCCGCGTTGATCTCTAGGGAGAAGAATGGTGCTACTCGAAGGCTGGTGTAAGTTCTGCATTAGATGTCAGTTATTGTTCTCAAGGCTCTGCAGTGATTGACTAACATGTCCACATTCATGTTAGTTGTAAGCAACAGAATGAGCCTGGTGATTGTCGAAACAACAGCAAACAGTCCAAGCAAAAGCATCAGTGTCATGTTGATGACTTTAGCTCGTGTTCTGTTGGTTGAGGATGAAACCCATATACAGAGGCCAAATATCACAATGTTAAGAATAGTTGAAATGATTGAGTGAGCCCATCTCATACGAGACAGGCTATACTTCGAAACGCACTGTCTGTCTGGCTTTGCGGCGTTGAATACATCTCTATTCAACTCAGTCTCTAATCAACGCATAAGGGAGAAAAAGAAGCGACATACGATACCGGGCTACAAGACAAAAGGACAAATAAGAATGAAGTCACGGCAGTGATTATGGTTGCCACAAAAGCTCCATAGGCGCACGTCATAAAAGATCCTGTTAATTCAGATCAGTATCATGAACTTGTGAGTGAGTGATTCTCTTACTGTCCCTGTTGAGGCGAGGAAGACAAGCAAGAATAGATAGCCTGACAAAACCACCAGCCGAAATGAAAACTAACTTGTCGACAGGAAATAGCTATAGCAATGAATAGTCAGTGTCTGGAGTATACTTATAGGATTTAGTGCTTAGTACATACTGACAAAAGTTGAAACAGCGTCTCCTTCGGCACATCCTGTAGGTGATATCCAACACCCTTTGTCAAAAGAACGATTTCTATACAAGAAAAGGCCACGACAAGGCCCTAGTAATATGTCAGTCGACCCTGATTTTAGTGGTATATTTCAGGGAGTACTTACCCAAGCAACAACAGCCAACAAATCATCCCACCCAAGACTCTTAGCCATAACGCCGCGAACATATAATCGTAAAATCATCAAGATATTAGTGATGACCATAAGGGCAACGTTGAGATATAAAATAGATTGGCCATTGCCGTGCCCAGGGTCAAACTCAGCCCTCTCCAGGGCCACCATCCTCTACCCAATCGAATCCGTTGCCGTCGTCGTGATGGTGATAGTAGTAGTGATGGATATAGCTCGTGTCTTCTCCTCGTCGTCGTACTCGGAAGGACGGCCTCTGCCGAGCTTGCGATTGATGATATCCGATATCCGAGCAAATGAGCAAGACATTGGTGACGAATATGAAGCGTCACTCAGTTTCTGACATAGGTGCCTGAGCATTTAGAAGTGCAGTGTAGGTTGAAGAGGAGAGGAAGCGTGGTACATGGGGATAATCCCATTCTTTATAGGAGATGACAAGCCATGGCGTACGCTTCTAGACAGTTCTGTGCATGCTTGGGTATAAGGCAGAGGTCTATAAAGCCACATTATCGTCCATCGAGAGCCAAAACGTTGGTGGGAGGCTCTCTTGGCCGGACACGGCTAAGCGCCGTAGATCTTCTGTTCTTGATCATGAGGCATCTTCAACGAAACTCGTGGTCGCGTTACACGAGGGTCCTCTTTCAGTAGGATGTGCCGAAATCTTCGATCGACAGTGATAGTATTGATATAAAGTCGATAGCGTACTTATGAGACCGTATGCCAGCCTTCAACAGACTCCTCATCTCGACTACCAATATACGACAACTTGGTTGAGAGAGGCTGGGCCACTAGAAACCTACCTCTACAACGACCAAACAGTATGAGACAAACATGCGTCTTGAGACATACTCCCAAACCCTTGGGTCCTGTTTCCTCCTGTTTCATCGTGCTTGCTTTCGGGGATTTGAGGCTCGTGTTTTGCAACATTGAATCGGCTTTAAACATGGCTATCGCGTTTCCTTCAGCGCAATAGATCGATTCTAATCACAAATGGTCAAAGCTATTTCCGATAGCGTCAAACCTGGCCGATCCGGTCGATCTCGTCTTCTCCTCCCGTTCCTGGCGAGGCGCTAACTTAGCACAAGAATGTCTCTGTGCCTTGCATACTATATATCGTGGGCCGTAACCCATGCATTCCAGTCAACAACAACACTATTGGATAGAACATCTTGGCACTCCGGGTTTTGACTTTAACAATAACATTATGCTGAATCATCTGCGCGGCCTCGTGAGATTAGAGTTGGTGGCAGTTCTATTAGCATGCGTGTCGCAAGGACAACCAACATCGAGTTCTACGTCGCCATCTGCGACCCTGCAATGGCACGATACGAGGTTTCATTACAATCAGCTTTTGCGCCCGCAATAGTCCTTAAACCACATTCACAAACTTCAATAGCTCTTCAGACAATACCTCTGAGGAGTGAAGGTATTTGGAAGAGAATATGGAAACACGGCAAGGAAGTAATAACTTTGTTGCAAAGGATGATGAAATCTACCCAGACAAAGTTGTACACGAACCTAGAGCTTGGGTTTCCTCGGTGAAAAATCACAATCCTATCTGAGTCCAGCGTAAATTGACACAGAGGGCCTTGAGACTGCTCAGTGGCCAAAGTGGTACTACCTTGCCGCATCTTTGAACATCAGGGCACCCAGCAGCAATCGTCTTGGTATTACCTGGCACAGGGATATCTCAGTTGGTAAATTCATATTAACGTAGATGAGAGGCAGAGGCAGGTGTTTGTGCGGACGCATCATACAAATATATGATTCAAAACCGCCACCCATACCAGTGCCAATTGAAATCCAACTTTATAAAATCATCCACTATCCTCAGCAAGAGAACCATAAAGCCCAGCACCTCTGACCACACAACATAAAAGATTCCACAGGCTGCCCAGCCCTATCATCGCGAGTAGATAGCCAATTCATATATCATATCACAGTGAGTAAGCCAGCCAGCAGCGCTCCCTGAAACCGCACCTAACTCTCCAGTATAACAAGGCAGTAACTTCATGCCTGCCATCGACTTCTTCGCCAACTTAATTACCACAGCTCTCCATCAGGTACCATATCCTTTGGTGCATGACCCCTCTGTTCTGCCCTGCAACTATTTCGTGATGCGCGCACAGCCGCCAGATTCAGCGGTGCAGGTGGCCCCTTGCGAGGAACATTAGGGTCCCGAGGACTCGGGGGCCTTGGCACCGGCTTCGGATGCGCAGGCAGGCCCATTGATCCCTGTGGAAGCTCAGGGGGTCCAGCTGAGTTCCGGTGTTTTGGTGAGGTCGGTGAGATCTGCTTGCGGATGTCGGGGTCGTATAAATGGTGGACAGGATGGCCACTAGGGGTAGGAGACTGTACAGGGGTCGGTCGACTTTGACGTTTGATCCCGCGTGGTGATGTAGGGGCCCAGGCATCAGCAAAAGCATTGCCTGGGTGGATGGCTGTCAAGAGTGCTGCGGCCAAGAAGGGGAGAAGTCCTCCGACAACCATGAAAGCAGCCTCGTTCTGGAAGACATCCCCCGAAACACCATCTGCAAACTCGACAAGCCGATAGAAGGAGTAGACAATCAGGAGAGCAGATGCCATCTCCATTGCTGCGTTTGGTGTTAGCCTAGAACAATTTCGCAGGACAAGGGCGTACCTAGGAGGAATTTCTTGAATCGAGAAGACGAGTAGACCTGTGAGTGCCTGGCGTCGAGGGTTCCTCTACGAGTGCTCAAGCTGAGGGTGAACCAGAAGTGTAGCCCAGTGCATGCTATCAACGACAACGCTTGGATGGCCAAGCCTGTAGCTGTGATCGCTGCTCCTTGTTTCCGCTGCTCGAGTCAGTACATGATGAGAATTTGCTTCTCTGGTTGAGAAAACATACGCTGACTCCATTAGATTCATATGCCGTAAAGATGATGCCGATAAGCTCGAATAACACAGTGACTGCGCCGAGTCCCCAAAAAATGAGGCCAGCCACAAGTGGTCTAAAAGGACAAAGTGGCTCTCCATAGATGCCAAGGATGTGAGGAAGGATTATGAAGATGGCAACACTAATCAGCGATGGTCCCAGGACTGTGCCGAATAAGAAGAGGAAGAAATGGCCTTGGCTATCCCGCTTTGAATGAAGCAGAATACGACCAACAAATCCTAGTACTTCGAGAAAAAGCCCGGTGGTGAGTGCGAGGGAGAAGAGGTAGGTCCTGGAGCGGATGCCAAAGTAGATGGCGGCGAGAGCAAGGAGAGCAAAGACAACTAGCAACACAGCGTTGCCGCCTACACTCGGATTGTATGAGTAGAAGCCATCAGAGGCCGGACAGGTCGATCCACAATCGCCTGCCATCGTCCGGTGTCAACCAACAAAGGCTGGCAAATTATCATGACAGGCTGGCAACCAAGTCAAAAGCAAAGGGGGACTCGGAGAATAAGACGGGATGGCTTGGCCCCCATACATATAGACAGACAGATCAGAACTCTACCATCTGCCATCTGCCTGGTCTGGGCGGAGCCCTGCATGTGAGGCTCTGTACCCATGGGGCGCTGCAGAGAGGGGACACTGTTGGGAGGGCCATGATGCAGTGCAACAGCAAAGACAAGCTAGACAAGGTCTCAACGGGTGAGACGGGTATTCAGCCTTTACTAAACGGCACTTTGGGCGGTCCAATGACAGACAAGAACAACTGCCATATGCTCGAACCATAATTGATGTATGAGCCAACACGACCAATCAAGTTTGGTCATGATCGACGTTCAGGAGCACAAAATTGCATGGCACCCAGTCGATGGAAAGTGCCAGAGTGAAGAGGAAAGGCATGAAGCATCAAAGAGCATGTGGTTGTTGGGTGTCGGATCCTTGTAATCACAAGCCAGGATGATATCCGTAAAGTGGTTTGCAAGGTTTGTGATGGGTTGGCATGACTAGGACAACTGCATAGAAATGGCTATGCAACTCAAGACATGACATGGACAGAAAAGGTGTAACTTATCTGGAGCCTGACAGGGTTGTATAACCCAGGTTCATGGCAATCTCTGCCTGCAAGAGACAATCTTCTTGTCGTTGCGCTGGCTAAGATGGGGGGCTAAGTGTGCCAATCATGAAGGGATAAAGGCGGGGAAATGGCGGCAGCCCGCACGGCACAGACGCAGCGGGCGAGCGGTACAAGGCCACGAAAGCGGCCAGGCTTTGTCGTGGTTGGTTGACGAGCGCGAAATGGGGCATTCATGGTCTTTGGGCGGCAAGCGGCCCGCATGGTGCCATTCCGCGAGCTCCTCTAACGCGAGTGGTGATCGGGAGTTCCCATAAAATCGCAAGCACCTCGACATATGTGACTCGGAAGTGGATGGGTCATGTCATGATCCAAACCTTCGAGGTGCTGCAGAAGCGCGGAGTGTTTCCGGGATACATCATACAGGGCTCGTAAATTGGCATTGCGAAGCGCGGCGTGAACAATGCCGATCCTGGCTCAAAAGGAAACCTCGTCGATCTCCGGAGAACTCGAACAACACCAAGTCAACAGAGGGACCCTGGATATGCAGTTGGTTCAAGATGCAGCACATCTCATGCCAAATTGTGGGTGCTGAAACACCTCGGCAGAGGGTCCGTGAGTGCTATGAGGTGTCGATCGCGGGCTTTCCTGCCCTGACAGACTCATTGCCGACAAAAGTATCATGCCAGTTGCGGTCTGTATCCACCTCCAAGGTGTTGATATGTGATGGATGTGTCAAAGAACTGTGTTGGTTGAGATCTTGTCGGACGTTATAGTGGAGATTGCGACAGGCTTCAAGGCTGGATCAAGCAGGTGACGCTCATGAAAAGTTGTCATCACCAACACTCTTCATGCGTCCTATGCATCTGCATTGCAAAGCACCTCGTGCTTGGATGTTCTCTCTTCTTTTCTGCCCTGCCCTGTCTGTGATGCCCAGCATTTCCAATCTCCAGGGAACTGATCTTCGAACCTTCTCCACCATACATCTTATAACTTATCGCGGCACAGCGGAGATGTGGCCGCGTGAAAAGCTTGGGTAGACGGCTTCTACCCCTGCTTGAGGGACTTTTGGTAGATTGGCCTCGATGAATTGGGTTGAAGGGCCACAATCTCGAGTTTCCAGATCTGTACAGTAAAAAGCTTGTCGGAGACGCGGCGCTAAAACAACCGATCATGTAAGCCACATACGGGTACCGGAGTACATACATAATGCGCCACAGTATTCGTGAGATAATAGGTAGCCACAGTCACCCCTCCTTCATGTCAGGTGCGGTGAGGCCTAGGTATCGCGGGGCTTGGCTCAGGCTGAGTAGCCTTGGTGACGTACAACCAACAGACCTAAGTTTCCCGCGCAATCCGTCTAAGAGTCGATGAAATACGATCAAGCTTCTTCCATGCAGATAATGCAAGACTGACAGGGCTTGAGCTATTCGAGAGGATACGCCAAATTGTGAATCGCTCCTCTAAACGAAGAGTCTCTTGTTGAGATCTCAAGTCATATCACGCTCAACTCACAACAGCTGCACGACAAACATTATTGGACTGTTAGGTCCGAGTCAATCTTAGATCGAGCACTCACGTCGCACAGGGGACTTTTGTT